AGGTTCCTCCATGTCTTTCTGTGACTTGGTAAATCATTTTTAATCACTGAATAATATCCCATTGTCTGGATCCACATTCTTTTTCAGCTGCTGAGCATTCCATTGTGTAGATGGACCAGGTCAACCCCTATATTGGTGGACACCTGGGAGTCTCTGTTTTAAAAAAAAAAAATCAAATTCATTTTAGAGAGAGAGGGAGAGTGGGAGAGAGAAACACTGATGTGAGATCAGCTGCCTCCCGCACACACCTGGACCAGAGGTTGAGCTCACAACCTGGGCATGTGCCCTGACCAGGAATTGAACCGGCAACCTTTTGGTGCAGAGGACAGTGCTCAACCAACTGAGCTGCACCAGCCAGGGTGGAATGCTCTGTCTTTTGCTGTTACCACCAACATCCCTACTTCTGTCCTGAGCCCCAGGAATGGGTTTTTTATGCCAAATGGTATTTGTAATTCTGTGCCCTCCCTCCAGATTTATACCTCTATACTGTTTGAGTATTTGGAGAAATGTGTTTATTCATTAGTTGTATAATAAAACAAAAGCAAGTGTAAAAATCACTCCATTTTGTGGTAAGTAGCAGAGTGTAAGGAGCCTGGCTGGGTGAAACAGACCCACTGAGGGGTCTCTCCTCCTCGCCAGCTGTATAATCTGGGCAAGTCACTCAACCCCACTGGTCTCTTTTCCCCCTCTGCCTTACAGGATCTCACAGGGCAGTCCAGCAGCCTCTGAATATAATGGGCTTAGGACAGTGACTGGCACACATGGGATATTTTGCAATCAATAAATAAATGAGATTGAGCTCTGTCTTCTAACGAGGAAAGATGTCTGATTATATTGTAGAACGCAAAAATGAAAGCAAATTACAGAACTGGATAAAGGGTGCTAAGTGTGTGTCCTGAACAAATTTCATAATAATAATAATAATAATAAAATAATAATATACCTACTGCATTGAGAGAAAAGCACAACGCCCATTTTATAGAAAACAATAGAATTCGAAAAATGAATGTTTCTTTCAAGAATATAAATAAATTTTGATCAACAAACATTTCTTACTAGCTGGATTTTGAAGGCTAAGAAAATACCTCAAGACAAATAAATACTTTATTTACTTCCACTCAATTCACTATTCTTAAGTGCCAGAGAAAAAATGCCAGGATTTTCCTGCTAATAAACTTCAGTTATGTGCTTTACTCTGCACACATATACACCCTTGTTATGATTTAGCTGTTTCTACTACCTTTGAAACAGTTAATTACATGTCAAAAACAGTGCTTAATGTCAATATTAATGGTGATTAATAAATCATGTTTGTTGCTATAAAAGATTCAGCAGTCAGTATCCTGAGCTTTCCTTTTGAAGGTGGGATTTATTTTATTATTTTTAATTTATTGATTGGTTGATTGATTTTAGAGAGAGAGGAAGGAGAGACAGAAACATCGATTTATTGTTCTGCTTATTTATGCTTTTTTGGTTGATTCTTGTATGTGCTCTGACTGGGGATCGAACCCACAACCTTGGCATATCAGGACAACACTCTAACCAATTGAGCTACCTGCCAGGGCGAAGGTGGACTTTGTATGAAAACTTTCAGAAGCTGCTTTTCTTGGAAGTGGGAAGCTGAGTGCTCATGAGGCTGTGTTCCTATAGTCGGAAAAATAAACAGTTGTTCTGGTTTTCCTCTCTCTCAAACCCCGTGCAAAAGCTCCAGGTACTGACTTCCCTTCCCGAATAGCTAACAGTTCTTAAACAGGCTTCTAAGTGCCAGGCACTTACAGGGCGTTGACTCATTTAATTATCACAGTTCTGCCATCCACCCCACTTTACAGATGAGGAAACTGAGGCCCAGAGAGGTTAAAATCATTGGCCCAAGGTCACTCACATGGGAAGTGGCCCCTGAACCCAACTGGTCAGGGTCCTAAGCTCTGGCCCTTAGCCAGAAAAAATATGCCCAGCAGGGGTTGCTACCCAGGGGTCATTTAGGAGAGGCTGAGAATGTTCCTTTTTCTGTGTATTAGAGTTTGGAATTTTTAGTGTCAGCAATTACTACTACCATAATGAAATGAATCTAAAACATGACCCCTCCTTACCCTGGCTGACCCGAATGTCCTCTCACCCTAGCCCTGAGGAGGCCGGGAGGTACCTGGAGACCTACAAGGCCTACGAGCAGAAGCCGGCGGACCTCCTGATGGAGAAGATGGAGCAGGACTTCATGTCCCGGGTGAGGCCATGGCACCCCCCTGCCCAGCCTCTCCCCAGCTCCTTCCTGGGCTTTTGAGCTTCTGATCTCAAGTCATGCCTCTCCTCCCCAATCCCACCCTCAGCTTCCAGTCTCCCCTCTCCCACCGGAAGAGCAGCTAAAGGGGTCTACCTAAGCACAAACCTGATCCTGCCTTCCCCAGCTCAAAACCCTCCCATGTCTCCCCAGTGCCCTCAGAGAAAGCCTGGCCTCTCGCCAGCTTCACCAGGCCCTGCCTATTTGGGCCCAGCAGCCGTGCCCGCCCCCTGCCCTTGCATTCTCTGTCCCTTCTCCCAGGCCTACTCGCTTCTCTAAGTATGCGCCCATTTGTTCCCTCTTCTGTCTGCCTGATCCCATCTTTCACATCTGAGCTCTGATGCTTCCTTCTCCAGGAAGCCTGCCTTGATCCCCAGGCCAGGTCAAACACCACCACTGACTCCCCCATCCCAGCCCATCTGAGTCACCACTGTCTGGAACTAATTTGTCTCTTACACTGTACTGGGAGCCCCAGTAGGACAGAGCCAGGGCTGTCTAGGTCCCTGCTGTGTCCCCAGCACTCAGTGGGCTCCAATGATAGAGTAACAGTGGATGCCTACAGCCACCCCTGAGGTAGGTACCACTAGGACCCTCTTTTACCTGGAAATGGAGGCCCAGAGAGGTCAATTCCTGTGCTCAGGATCTCACAGGGAGTAAGCACTGGGGCCTGGTTTTGAACACAGCTCTGACTTCAGAGCCTGCAGTCTTCCCCTGGGCAGAACCAACTGGAGATAAGTGGCATTTATCCTTTGTATGACCAACACCCTCTTAGGTACTTGGGGATCACTCTGAGATGACCTTTTAATCAGTCCAAAAAAGGGGCATTTATTGAGCACCTTCTGCATGCAAGGCAGTCTGGGACACAGTAGTAATCCAGCTCTGCCCTCATGGGTTCTTCTGCTCTCCTTTCGTCTCTTAACACACCTCTGCCTCCTTCTCCTCCCCTTTCAGGTAACTGAATGTCTGACCACGGTGAAGTCAGTCAACAAAACAGACAGTCAGACCCTCCTGACTACTTTTGGGGTAAGGAAGGATTCCTGTGTCCCTACAGGCTTTAAACCCGTGCCTTTTAAAGGAAGCCCCC